AACTATGTACTTCATCATTTGCCCAACTCTTCTTTCTACCTCCTTCAGTTCCGTAACTTTTATTTCCAGAGGGCACTAGAGATGTATTGCACTCTCCCCTCCTTTACTCTGAACCTCTGTGTCAGTGTTACAATCTTGATGGGCCTTTGAGCCTCGTCAGGGCTCATCTGAAGGTTTTTTTGTTTTTATTTTCTTCTCACAGTTCAGGACTCCCACTCTTCTTTCACAGGAAAGATAAATCTCTCCATTTCATTCAATTCAGCTGTGTGTCCTGAGAGTCAGGCTCTCTTTAGCATGTTCCCCGCATGCTAGTGTCGTGACTACCGTGGGCCTTCTCATCGGTGCCCATTTGCATCTCCTTGCATGGCCAGATGGGAAGCCTTTCCTGTTGCTGGGGGAGGCTTCAGATGCAGCTGTCTTCCATGTGCAGACACATGTGCCTGTGTGCTCCTGTATGTAACCTTTTACTTAATTTGGGTTTTATTTTCACCTCCACTTCAGTCAAGTAGTTTTGTTTTGTATGTGTTATTTTTCTCTGCTTCCAGTGGAGAAACGTCACTCTTTAGGTAAATGTGAGCTTGCATCATTCCCTCTTAACTGGTCTTCAGATTTTCTTGATTAAAGTCATAGAATTTACCAACAATGTATTTCATAAAAGGTAAATTTGTTTATTTTTATTTAATCCATTTCCTGTATAGCCTAATTATTTTAGTTGAGAATTAAATAGTTGAAATGAAATTCTGCTTTATTTGTGTGATAATGCTTTTTATTTAAGTTATTTTGTATATTGTCTTATTTTTGTAGTGTATATATCTATACTGGGCATAGAGTTTCACTTTCCTTTTTGTCATTGTTTTTAGGAAGTGGGGATAAATGGTCAAACAAGCAATTCTTCTTGGATGCCATTCACCCTACAGAAGGTAAAAAAAAAAAAAAAGCAATATTCATTATATCATTTCAGATCATCTGTGCTGGTAAAGGCACAATTTTAATATGTTTTAAAAGTGTAATTTATATGGGCTCCACCAACAGCATTAGACCTGAGTGTTCATAATTGGGTTATTTTAAATTTTCAAATCAAAACTGGTATTTTTTGACCCTGCTCAGGGTCAAGCAATCTGTCATATGGAGTTTAATTTGTCGAAAGGAGATTTATAACCTTTGAGCCACATTAATGAGATTTTTCATAAATAAAAACACTTAGCTTTGCAGTCATGTTGCAGGCAGATGTTCATGGGAGTAAGAACAGGGCTAGCATGGGGCTGTCCTGGTGGCTGGGCATGGACAGGCATGCAGAAATGGTTCCTGGCCTGGCCTTTTTTTCTAGTCAACCTCCCAGTACCTGTAAATATGTTTAAACTAGAGGCCCGGTGCATGAAATTCATTCACAGGTGGGGTCCTAGGCCTGGCCAGCAATCAGAGCCTATCAGGACCGTCTCGCCCAGTCCTGATTGGGGCCGGGCCAGCCGGTGCCTACCAGCTGCTGGATGGGGCCTTCCGAAGGGGTCTGCCGGATGGGGGTGGGGGGCCGCGGGAGATTTGCCGGCCTGGGGGAAGGACCAGGGGAGGTTGGCTGGCTGTGGGAGGTTGGCTAGAGCGCATTGACCACCAGGGGGCAGTTTCTGCATTGAGTGTCTGCCCTATGGTGGTCAGTGTGCATCATAAAAACTGGTTGTTCCAGTGGTAAGGGTCACTTAGGCTTTTATATATATAGAATGGATTGCCTCTGAGACCTATGTATAGCCCAAAAAAGGCGCCATAATACGACCGTATAACGTTACAGGTCTAGGTATAGATTTTTATGTCAGAATTTCTCACAATTATATTTATTTGTGATATTATCTAATTTCTATTAAATATAGACCCTCAGGTGAATGCTCATTTCTGTGATGGTTAAGGAGCCACCCTCCCCTTCTTCCCATTGATTCTCTTTTTTTCACTGTAGATAATTTTAAAGAGCTGACCATTTTCATGGTGCTTAATTAGTTGATTCATTTGAAAACTAGAAGGGATTTTAGAGGTCATCCCGTTCAACCTGTTTGATTTATTTATGGCTGGAAAAGGGAACTTAATGATGAGTAGCCCACGTCTCTGGACTCCCAAATACACTCTCATTTCCTTACTAAAAAGGAGAAAAAAATTAAAATGCTCATTTAGCCTAAATCATTTATTATAAATACCTATGTTTTAAAGATATTTATAAAAAATATACAAATTTGAGTTTATTGTAAACATGGATTTTTTTTGTGTGTGGTAGGTACTGGTTACATGGGCCATGACTGCTTTTATACCATTTACTTTTACAGAAAATGCCAGCAGCATGTCTGTTTTCTGACCTGTCACTTCACATCACAACCTCTGGGCAGTATCATTTCTGCACTTAAGCTGGCAAAACAAAATATGAATTGTTGTGCTGCTCTCAGAATTAAATTTTGACATCCCAAAATTGATATATATTAGCTCTTGTGTATTAAAAATAGATTCTACACAATACATTTTTTTAGTGATACTGCTCTAAATATTTTGTGTTTTTAAACAATGAAAACCCTACCTCATATAAAATGGGTTATCATAACATGTGCAGTGTGGTAGAAAGCATGAATTAGGTAGGAATTAGGAGACCTGGGTGCTGGTCTCAGATTCACCACTAGAGAGCTTGTTTCAGTAGAACAGATTGTTTAGCCTCACTAGGATTCACTGTCTGTGTTGGTGCTGAGTGTGAATGTGACTCATGTATTAGGGGTGGGTAAATGGTGAGGTGTGCTGATACATAAATTCTATTTCCCTTCAACACTTGATGATTTTATTATGTGATTTCCTGAAAGTAGGTTAATTTGGAAGCCCTAATTTTCTGCCATTTCGGAAACAGAAAAGTAAATCAATTTTGAGTCTTCTAGGCAGACCCAAGGGTTTAGTTGGAAATAGAGTTATTATCGGTGATATTTAATTATCCTTATTATTAATGTATATGAAACAAAACTTTAGAGAACATGCACTAAAAATTGCATGCCCTGCAGTGTAGAGTGCAAATTATTTTACGTGGCCAGAAAAAAGGAATAGGTTTGAGCTTTGGAAATTACCAATAATTTAAAGTGACCTTTTCTTGTTACCTATTTTCATACCATCCCCTACATTTACTTGTTTGGGTGGTAAACAATGTACTTTGTGAATTATCTCAGCTCTTCATTCTCTCTCTCACCTGTGGCCATATCACTGCTTATTAAAACTTTACTTTTGAGAGTGTAAAAATATAAGAAAATGAAACTGTAATCAGGATAATTGTGGGGTGTGTAAACCACCCTAGGCAAAGGTTAGACAGGAGTTGTTTGTAATTGATATCTGTATAGAAATGTTGACTCAACTGAGGCCACAACTGTTAACTGTCCCTGATTTCTGTTAAAGTGGAGGACTTAAAGTTCATTATGTTTTCTTTATATCATCCCAAGTATAATTGGATTACCATTTGTATTTTTTTTCAAAATATCAAAAATTGCCTGGCAATTGTAGCTCAGTGGTTGAGTTTTGATCTGTGAACCAGGAGGTCACGGTTTGATTGCCTGTCAGAGCACATGCCCAGATTGCCAGCTCGATCCCTAGTAGGAGGTGTGCAGGAGGCAGCTGATCAATGATTCTCTGTCATCATTGATGTTTGTATCTCTCCCTTTCCCTTCCTTTCTGAAATTAACATTTTTTTTTTAAATCAGAAATCTTTAGGTGATAAGTCATCATATCTGAGGCTTAAGTGCTAAGCTTAAAATCTGGTTTAAACATTTCCACCCAAGCTTTTCAAAATCACTAAACCATTTCTTGAAATTTTTGTAGATCATCAAAATATATATATATTGCTAATAGCCTAGAATTAAAGTCAAATTTTTCATATAAACCAAGACAGCCTACCTCTGTCACTTTATCTTTCCACCAAGTTATGGTGTCATGCTCATTCTGAAGCTAGGTAATAGTTAATATTACATTATAGTTTCCAGAGGACTTTTACATAATTTTTTTTTTGCGAAAACTAATCTTCACATCAGCCTTGGTGAAGTAAGAAGTGCTTATTAGCTCCAAATACATGAAGCCTGACCAACAGAAGCAGGAAGGGAAGGAAGAAACCAATAGTTTTTCCACATTGGCTGCTTTTCAGGCATATTCGTAGATGGTCCTCTTTTGGCTCAGATGTTGAAGTTACAAATGGTATCCTATAAGAAAAGAAAACCAAAAACCTCAGACTAGGAATCTCTGTAAGACTAGTTTCTTTGCAATACATCTAATTACGGGGGAGAAAATTTGTTTTATAGTTAGATTTTCAATCAGGAGCCATAGCACTCAGGCTAACTTGATCTCCTCAGTTCAAAATAATTGCTACTTCACTTCAGCAGGTCTCCCAGGATTAAGTTTATTCATTTGGTTATTTTTCCTGTGTTTCACTCAGTGTCCCACTGCATTTTCAGTTCACAGGAGACCAACCAAAGGCAATGAGATTCCAGATTTGGCTATAATAATTTCAGTGCAAGTTGGATTCCCCTAGTTGGAATGTGAATTCATGACTCTAGAGCACTCTAGTGGTCTCCTGGGGTACAGTGCAAAAAATGATCTCCACATTTTGGGAGTAGAGTGTGGAAAACAAGAGTCTGTTACTGCCACATTCCTAATGCTGCGCCAGGAGTGAGTTCACATTATCACTCTCAGATGATCCGCGCCAAGTGTGTTACGATGATTGTGGAGTGAAAAACTAGCCCTGTGGACGTGTTTTGCAGTGCTTGGGTAGGTCTGTGTGCCCAATTACAAGCCAAAAGAGAAATGACTTAATTTGGTTTTAGACGACAAGCCTTTCTTTTCTCACATTTCCACTGGTTTGTCAGGGAGAAAGAAAAGGGAGCTGGCATGCTGTCTTGATGCTCAACTGCAGGCTTTTTTCCTCCCTGAGCTTTTTCTATTTCCAATCCCTTTGTGTGTTAATGTTGCTGGACTCAGGCGTACTGTCCTGTCCCAGACAACTACTTCTTTGACTTAGTCTTACCTGCCTTTCCCAATTCTTCTGTCCTGGGGAGGGTTCTCCCTGAGTGCTGACCCTGAAGGCTGTCATCTGTCTAGGCCACCACACAAGATGTTCTGGAGTTGGTTACCTCCTGGGTCAATCAATGCATGGAGTAGGACTCACTCTTAACTCCTCTTCCAAACTCTAGCAGCATCACATTACACACCCTTTTTATTCTACTTTTATTTTATTATTTTATCTTTTCGTTAATCCTCACCTGAGGATATTTTTCCATTGATTTTTAGGAGAGAGTGGAAGAGAGAGGGAAAGACAGAGAGAGAGAGAGACATCAATGTGAGAGAAACACATTGATTGGTTGCTTCCAACCAAGGAGGAGCCTGAAACCAAGGTACGTGCTTTTATCCGGAGTCGAACCCGGGACCCTATCGACTGAGCCAACTGGGTAAGGCTACACACCTGTCTGCAGGACCCACAGTTACTTCCGGATTTGACAGGGGGTTTAGAGAAGACATCTGGAGAGGTGGAATTGCCTCTTTTCAGGGATTTATGAAAACTTGCAATAAATTCTCTTTTTTGCCTGAGTCTGCAACCTGATGCACTCCTTTACCATCTCCCAGTACACAATTTCTGGGACTTGACCATTGTTGGTCTCTGTTAGCCAGCTGGCCTTTGACCCCTGGCTCCTTGAATGCTGGTTTCTGAGCTTCCCATAGTCCCGATGTACTTTCAGGCCTGAACTATACCTCCCATTTGCAGTCCCTTTGTAGCCATCCCTTGGCTTTTTATTGTGTTTTTACCAATTCATCTGGAACACACAGCAAAAGGAATAAACATTGAATAGAAATGAAACCATTTGAAGGCTCACTAAGAAGAAAAATCTAACAATCCTAGTCAAGGTATTCTTCTTCTTATTATTATTATTATTATTACTAGTGGCCCGGTGCACAAAATTCATGCACATTAAAAGGGAATTAATTAGAGGAAATATTTTTATATTGCTATTTGCCCTTTCTCTATAATAGAAGTGTCAGAGATGAAAGAAAATTAGTAAAATGTATATGAAAATCTCCCTCCAGTCAGAGTCTGGGGTGCGCCACAGGACCCAGAGTCAAGTCCCCGCCCACATGCACGCACCTCAAAATCGCGCGAGACCCAGACCTGGCCGGCCCCACCCACGTCCTCAGGTCCCCCAGCCTGGCGCCACAGCCTCAGGTCCCCCATCAAGCCCCTCCATGCGGGGGGCGTGGCCTCAAGTCCCCCCCACCCCACCCCATCCCAGGCTCAGCACCAGGACAGGGGTCGCGGCCTCAGGTCCCCTGACCACCACACGAGGGCACAAGGACGTGATGACCATTTGCATAGTAGCTCTTTATTATATAGGATTATTTATTTTTTTTCAATTATAATTTGCATTCATTATTATTTTATATTAGTTTTGGGTGTACAGCATAGTGGTTAGAAAGCCATACACTTTATCAAGGCGGAGGCTCTTTCCTAGTCCTGAGCCTCTGGAGCAAGCTGCATACCTGATTTTCCCTGATCAGGACCCCGATTCTAGGCTGTGTAGCAAAATGAAAAGAATTTGGGGGACTGGGTGGCTCCTTTAGAGCTAATTGAGTCCAGTCTCCATCTTTACAGTTAATGAATTTGAAAGTCATGAGTAGAATCCAGCTTTCTCTGTACTGTGTTATCTCCATCACCCCACCATCTTTCTGTAGAAACCTGGTCATCTTTCCTAACGCACTTGGCCCTTTTTTGGGTATCCATGCCTTCTCTTTGGCTTCCTTGGTGTTCTCTCTCTTCCTTCTCTTCCTTCCTTCCTTCCTTCCTTCCTTCCTTCCTTCCTTCCTTCCTTCCTTTCTTCATTTCTTATAATGAGCAATCTTTTAATATAATACACCCTTCCTCTTTGGAACTTGCTATAACCTTATTTCCACAAGTTCTGAATTTTTATGGGAATAGGAAGAGAAAAAGGAAGAGGTAAATGCTTTTTCTGGAAGGTGCATCTATAATCCTCCAGTAGTGATCATACTGGAGAGGTGAGTAAGATCCACCCTGTAATCAGAGGGACAACTGATGGGTCTGGATACAAAACCATAAATTTTGTTGCTTGTGAATATCCAGTAGAGGTTATTTAATCCTCACTTTGAACTTAGATTTGGGCTACTTCAACCTAGGGGAGGCTTTGAATTTAAGGGCTAATGCAGAGTCATTAAACATCATTGGAGTGTTTCTAACCAAATTATCTTTTATTTGCTTTTATGTAGCTTTTATCGAAGTTCAAACTGAAAAAAATATATATACCACAATTGGCCTGTGTTAGGCTAAATATCAAAGTATAAATATGCTATGACTGTTTGACCTGGGGATAGATCTACAACTTAAAAAGATTCTTTTTTTTTCTATTTTTTTTTTTTATTATTTGCTTGAAAAGGTATTTGGGAACATTGCCAAATAGTGCAGTTTATTTTTATAAATAACGATTATCTTAAGCCTGTCGCCAAACAGCCATCTATTATGTAATATTGAGGTAAGGTCAAGCCTAAATTATGATTTATGCTTTACATCCTTTCTTTTGATATAATTGAAATTATTTCTCACTTGTGGAATGGGAAGCCTGGAATCACCATCTTGAGGTCAAAGATCTTACGAATTCATAGCTCTCCTTTCTCAAAGATGTGTCTAACTAAATCCATTAGAGAGCGAGATTGAAATTGTTGAATGAAGCCTCTGCAAGTATTTATATGAACAGTGCATTATTTTATATCCTTATTTTCGCTCTTCTTTTCCTATTTCAACTGTTTTCTTCTTCCTGCATTACATATATTGTCTTATTTCCAATGTCTACCTTCACAGCCTCCTCTGATAAGCACCTTCATTTATACTTCAGGTTTAGTTTGCACAATTTCTCATGTCTCACCTTGATTTCCTGAGCCACCCTCCCCTCTTCTTTGTCAAAAACCACTTCTATGCCTGTCTTAAGAGGTTGGATCATTAAAAAAGGAAAAGATGCATCTCTTCCCTGCCCAAGAGACCTTCAACCGCTGGAATAAAAAAAGTCCTAGTCATGAAACGTGATTACATATATGTACTCCTAAATGCTCACTATACTCGTATCTGCATATTTGTCTTATTTTGAAATTAAGGGGAGAGGGAGATGGATGAGCTCCTAAGGAAACGAGTATATAAGAAAAGACACAGCATTCCCAAACTCTGAATCGGGAGCAAGTCTTTGGTGGCATATTTGTTCCTTGCTCTTGACTGTGCTATTTGGGGCACAAGCGTGTGCTATTAAACAATTTACTGATAAAACCAGTCAGAATTAGGGACCTAGAACTAAACTTTCCAAGGAGCCCTGCTGAGATATGGTACTTCATGAAATTGTCTCACTAAGCACAGTCACCTGATCCTGGAATTTAGCCAATAGGAGAGTCTCAGTCCGTGCTGGCTTCAGCAGTGTTTGGGGCGTCCTGGCCAAGCCATCAACAAAAGGGTCAGGCCTCCCTCACAGCGTCTTTTTCTGATTAGTCCAACGTGGTGATTGAAAGCGAATATCCCAGGGATAAGTATAACTTTAAGAAGCACATATTTAGCTCAGTATCCTCAGGAGAAGAAAAATTTATCATCCTCTTCAGACCAGCTGGCCAAAAGGATCTCAGATAGGGACCCTGACACCTGCACAACTTGTGGTCAGTTGGGACACAATGGCCTCTTGGTGTTCAGTATTCTATTGAGGGGGGTGCATCTTAATCCTCTGTACTTAATCTACCAACGCAGATAGATATAAATATAAGTGTTTAAACTTACGGGCATTTTTTTCCCCATCAATACTTTGAAAACTCTAAATGTAAGTTCTCCATTCAGAAGGGTCAGACATTGAGAATGTTTCCTTCCAAGAGCAATGTCGGTGCCTTGTGTTTTTGTGTGTAACTCTATATGGTTTGTCCTGTTTCAGCCATATTTACAGAAGACAAAAACACCACAGAGCCTGCTCATAAGGTTAAAAATGCCCCATCCATTCCCAACACTCCAGAGCCAACAGCAACGCAAGAACCCCTGGTGGGCAGCCAAAAGAGAAAAGCAAGGAAAACCAAGATCACACACCTGGTCAGGACAGCAGATGGCCGGGTGTCACCAGCAGGAGGTACTTTGGGTAAGAAGAGGGAGCTTTAGACAGAGATAACCAAATCAAGCAGCTGACCCTCATGGCCACTTGGGCCAGCAAGTGACTAGACGCCAACTGCGGGTTTGGTCACAGTGACATTTTCTCTTTCTGGGTCTCCTTGATAACTAGTTTTCTACAGACTCCCAAATGTGCATGTTTTAGTCTGTGCTTTAAAATCATAGATCTTTTTCCAAGAGCATATCTAGATTTCCTAGAAAGGAAAGGTAATTTTTAGGGCTGTCAGCTTCTCCTTCCCTTTCTCAGCATGCACAGAAACAGTGTTGGTTAAGGAAATTCCCAAAGATCCCAGGCTTTTAAAAATCCTGGATGAATCAGTGTTTCTCCATGGCTCACTGCTCAAGTCAGTGAGAGAAGGCACTTTAGGAAGCATCCAGCACTTCTGCAAAGCTGACTAAGCCCACCCAGGGAGCTCGAGCATGCTTCTGGATTACTCTCGTTCTCTGGGCTAATCTTTAACCAACTCTTAAATTACCGTGAATTTCTCCATTTTCGGTTGTGGTCTGGGGTCTGTTTGTTGTTCCTGGTGGTCTCCATGGCAGTAGAATTGCCTGATGGGATCAGAGCTTGATACTGAGCATCCTCCCTCAGATCTTGGGGTGCGACGCCACCTCAGCATTAGTGCTCTGAGCTGTTGCCATGTTGCCTTTTAGCACCTCTCTCATCTCTTTCTGTCAATCCCGAAGGAAGGGTCCCTCCCCGCCACCCTAATTCAGTAGCCAGAAAAAGGTCGAAGGTCCATAATGAATTCAATAAATAGGAGAAAAAAATGTTTAAATGAGTGTTTTTTGAGAACAAGATTTATAAATATCTGATTTAAATTAATCTACTTGTTAATAGAGATTCATTATTTGCTGAGATAGAATTAGAGGACAGTTAGTGAATTTTGTGCATTTCTCTTGTTTTGCATATGTAGATTGATAGAACAAGAAAGCATATTAAAGATCCCTGAGTTTTCCCTGTCACATAAGAGCTGAGACTCAAAGGGGCACACTTTTGTTTTGAATGCTTTGAACTACTAAGCAGAAGGATGATGAAGACTAGAACCCAGTTTTCCTCATATTTAGTCCAGCAGGCCCCTCCCTTATTTCCTTTCCACTGTGGGTTCTGCCCTGTGATTTTCATTTTGTAAATGGTTATAGCCTCATTTTTACTTGGAGGAAGAGTGAAAAATTTTAGAAAATACTTTCTTTCATGTAGGAAAGCACGTAGCACTTTCAGGTTCACTTACTATATGGCAATTTACTGCCTTTATCAATTATTTTATGTGGTTGAAATGTTTTTAATGCCCTCTATCTTGGCTACACAGTAAGGGTACTCACTTCCAACAGGCATATTGGCTTTATCTTTCTTTCAGCAGGTCTTAGAACAAAAGTGACAGCTTGGGGTCTCGTTGGGATTGAAATTTCATTGGGGTTAGTGTTGCCACCCTAAGTGCTATCATAGCACACCGAGTGTCAGGGTTGCCCTGGTAGGTAGGGCAGCTGCAGCTTCATCAGAAACGTTTGGTCAGTCGGTTTTTAAGGGCCCTTTACTGCATCCACCAGCCCCTCTGCAGAAGTCCCTTGGGCTGTATATTGACTAAGCCCATTTTTCTATCTCCAACACTGACCTGTTTGACCTTGAATAATACGCAGCTTCTCTGCTCAGCATCAGGACACAGTGCTGCCCACCACTGCAGTTGAGCTTAATAAGAGTTTTGTGACCATGAGAGATTCTATAAAAGCCTTACTATTCAGTGGATGACAAAAGTGAGCCGTGAAGAATGTGACCACATTTCACATTGCCTAGCACGGAGTTTTCTCTGCAGAAAACAGAGGGGGCCTCTCCTGATGGATTTCTCTTGTGTTGCAGATGACAAACCAAAGGAACTGCAGAGGAGTCTCCCTAAAGTCACGGAGACAGGCTGCCATGACGCGTGCGCACACAGCAGCGAGGCCGCGGAGACACGGAGCAGCACTCCCGAGATGCCCGCCGTGTCTGCGTTCTTCAGTCTGGCTGCGCTGGCTGAAGTGGCCGCCATGGAAAACGTGCACAGGTTAGCGGTGGGAGCCTTATTCCGCCAGGGGACCTACCTGTTCACTGTCACCTCTTGCACAGAGCGTAGGTGGAGAAAGCAGCATAGGAGACAAAATCAGCCTTTCTGACGTCATCTGTGATATTTTCACAATGTATTGGGGTTCACAAGACTTGGTTCAAGAGCACTTCTGTTCATGTGAGGTTAGGAAAATGTGTGTGCTAATTAATTATCAGTGAGAATGTAGCCAGCCAAGTATTTTATTTTGAATGTATTATTCTGTGGCTAAACTTTTATTTCTCTAAAAAGCCTGAGAGAGCAAAGAAGCAGCATTCTCAGATCATTAAGCATGAGATTTGGAGTCAGGCCTCAGACCTGGGTTTGAGTCCGAGCTCTGTCACCTGCAAATTGCAAGGTCTTGAGTAAGGTCATTCATTCACCTCTGTACCCTGTTGTTTCTCCTTATAAAATGGGTGTAGCTGGTACTCATTCCATAGACATGTTATGCAGAATAAATCTAATGTCCCAGTGTCAGCAGCCGTGCACACCCTCACTGAGGAGGGTCTGTGGCCGTGGTGGTACCAGCAGAAGAAAACAGAGTTGGTTCAGGAAAAAGACATCTGACTCACAGCAGACAGAAGGCCTGGATTTATCTTCCACTCTGTGTTTGCTGCAAAGTAATTTCATTCTCGGGCCTCAGTTTTCTCATCCTGCTTTGAAAACAACACTGTCCCCAGAGAATCACCTGGTTGTAAGGATCAGCCAAGATCACAGATGGGGAAGCCTGTGGAACTCGGGGAAGCCCACGGAAAGCATATCAACTTCTAAGTGCAAAATGGAGTGTTTGCTACTTCCTGGACCTTTTGGGAAGGCAGAAAAGACTTTTGTAGATTCAGGGATCTCCTATTTTTATTCAGTGTGGATTACCCACAGATGAGCTACCTTCTTAGCCTTTCAGTCTTCAGTACAAAGATCTTGGAATCACGGACGACTTGTATACCCACCTGGCAGGCTCCATTCTCCTTAGTCACATCAGGCTTAGCAGGCCCAGACGGAAGCTTTGTTTGCTGCTTTCTCTTTATCTGTCATGTTGCAGTTCCAGTCCTGTCTCACAAATAGCCTCTAGATATTTACAACAGGTCAAATTTCTTTTCATGTGTGCACTGCAAGTGCCTAACAGCACGTGAATGCTGACAGACATTGTTAAAATCCGCTCAGGTCTCTGCGGGCCTGAGGAGAGAAATGCACAGACACTTCTCCACTCGTGGAGTTTCGCAGTCGAGTACAGAGGACAAACTCATACACTTACACAAAGAATTAAATCTGTGCCCCCATAAACTGTGGAAATAAGAGGTGATGCAAGAATCAGGGGGGTCATATTTCAGGGCTCAGAAACGGCTACCACACAGTCCCCCTTGCTGTTGACAGTGTTCTCTTCTGAACAGGACTGTGGTCACACCATGGCTGTCAACCAGCCTTCCACAACTCCCAGTTTCCAGCAGTGAGCACCTCAGCAAACCATTCCTTCTTACCCCCTCCCCCCCACACCCCACCCCCAAAGTCAGGGGACACTGCTGCAGTCCACATGGGCCGAGTCCTTTCTTGCCTTTGCTCCTCCTTCCTGGCCTCGTTCTTTGTCCTCTTCTCTCACTGCTCCTGAAGTCTGCACTCTCCCCATGTACCTCTCATAGACCCGCCACCATGTTGGTTCGTAACTGTTTGCCCATACTTATGTCTCCTTCCAGTGTATTTTGAAAAACAAAACAAAACACTGGTTTTATTCTCCATATCCACAGCTTCCTTAGTTCCTGTCACGTCAATGGATGAATGGGCGAGGAGTTTTTTGTTGTTTTTTTTACCTCCCACTAGAACAGTGGTTCTCAACTTTCTGGCCCTTTAAATACAGTTCCTCATGTTGTGACCCGACCATAAAATTATTTTCGTTGCTACTTCATAACTGTAATGTTGCGACTGTTATGAATCGTAATGTAAATATCTGATATGCAGGATGGACTTAGGCGAGCCCTGTGAAAGGGTCATTCGACCGCCAAAGGGGTCGCGACCCACAGGTTGAGAACCGCTGCACTAGAAGAACGATCTTGCTTACTAAAATTTTACTGTCAACTTAACAAATGGTTAGTGTTCTGACTATCTAAAAAGACAGATTCTCCCCAGGAATCTTAGTTGTAACTTTAGCCCCTACGTGTTAAAGCAGAGCTACCATCCACCCTCTACCTACAGACTTAATGTAATTGTACCTGGTTGCACATCAATTAATTATTGCATTTAGAGAGTGGTCAACAGAGTTAGGGGTAGAAATATGTTACCGGCTGTTACCTGCATTCTTGCCACAAGAAATCTTAACATTAGGTTTAAAAATCCAGGGTAGAAAGGCAATTCTACAAAATGCAGGACACAGGAAGTTTCATAAACCTTTGTTGAGAGCCTGTTTATTTACGAGGAATTTTATAAGGAGGAAAGTTCATTAAAGTTAACCCTAAAATCGGCCCCGCCAGGTGGGTCTTTTTAGTCCCATTTTAATGTTGGCCCAAATGCTGAATTAACTTGCCAGGAGCACGCGGCCAAACTGAGTTAAGATACCGACCCAGGTCCTTGAATCCAGTGTCCTTGGCGTGGCTCCACGGTGCTGCGTTAGCATCTCTCATGTCCTGGCAGGTCAAGAAGGCTCTCCCAACCCTTCCCTCCCCAGGAACGAGGGCCATCAGTGCGTTGCACCCACATCGTTCTGGCTCATCACACACCGGCCTGCCTTTCACATTGATTAAGTTGGACTTTCACCCCAATTTCTCCCCCTCTTGTTCTCTCTCTTTTTTTTTTACATTATCCTTTTCTTGTTTTACTTTTTTTCTTGTTTTCTTTTCTCATACTTATTAAAATTCTTTTGGTTTTATAATGTTATTACATATTCAATCTTAAAGGTAAAAAGTAGCATTTTAATTTCATCTTTCTGGAGCAAAGTTGAACATATTGAACAGTTGGTGCTTACAGCATCCCTACATGAATAAACAGATTAATCCAGAAGTGTGATTGTAATACACGTTTTGTTTTTCTGAAAGCCTAATATCTTAGGCTAAGTGATCATCGGATTCTCACATCCCCAAATGTTGTCATTTATCTACATTGCTTTTTTTTTCTCTGCACCAAGAGACAGGAATTGGATATAGTTGTGGAGCAAATATAATTTGAATTTTAAAATAGCACCCTTTGTTCCACATAATCTGAAGAAGATACTATTGAAACCTTAAAACCAGTGAAGACATTGTTGCTACATCGCATTCCTCGGCACAGTGCCATGTGCCCTGCAGCTCTGTATAAATCACCAAGAATTTAGAAAAGTTTTGTTGTAACTATGAAATAAAACATATTTTGTCCTACTCGTTAAGCTGAAGCTGAGTGAAAAAAAAAATCAGCAATGTTCAATGTAGTTCCAATCCAAGTACAGTGGGGCCTTGATTTACGAGTTTAATTCGTTCCGAGACCTCGTTAAGGAGCTCGTTAAGGAGCTCATTAACTCAAATTACTCTGTCAACTCGATGCAAAAAAAAAACAAAAAAAATCGGGCAGAGAGACAGCTGGTATCTCAAAAAACTCGTTAGTCGGGACACTCGTAAGTCAAGGCCCCACTGTAATGGGATTTTCCATGAATGTTCTAGCTTTGCCTAGAATTCTCTCTCCATGTGTGTTGAGTTTGGCCCAAATTAACTGGGTTTTCTCACACTCTAAAACATAATCGGCACTTGCCTTTTCCCCTCTGTGCTCTTTCTCCATATGCCTGTGAAACTTTTCTTAAGTTAGGAGGGTGTCAGTGTTTTCACATATTTTTTGTGTCCTGGTACACCTCTTCCTCTCCAGGGACCATTGCTGTTATTGGCCTTAAGTTTTCACCGGGTTTATTATTACGCCACTTAAGAAAGGAGCCTGGAGCTTACCAATTAGTGTAGCAGAGTGTTCCCCTCAGGCAAGTCAAGCAAAGGATCCTGTCCTTGTTTAATTTCAGTGGATGTGGGGGAAGATTATTGTCCCGCACCTCAGCCCTTGACTTAAAGTTTCCCAATTCTGAGGGAATTTCCCAAATCTGTTGTTGCTTCAGATTCTACAAAATGGAGGTGGTCAGTTGGATACAGAATATTTTATTGAGTTGTGTGAGAAATCCTTTAAAGAAACAACAATATATGGAAAGAAAGAAACTCTAAGGACAAAATTGGTTTTCATTAAACAGCATAAGTAAAAAGTCAGCAGAAGCTATTAAACAAATTATTGGGAAGCGCTGTGTTATTCATCATCCTCTCCTATTTCTGACATACTCTGAATAAGTGATTTTTTTTTTCTCTCTTGCTTCACAGAGGTCAGAGGTCAACTCCGCTCACCCACGATGGACAGCCAAAAGAAATGCCACAGGCTCCCGTACTTATTTCCTGCGCTGACCAGTGAAGCGCCCTTCAATTGTAAAACATTGTGCTTTACCTACTACCCTAGCCTTGTCTTTACCGAGGGATGCTAGTGAGTTCATGTGGGGGGAAATATAGACTGCAAACAAGTGCTTGTTGCCCTACATGGCCCAGATTCACTTGAAGCAGAAGTTAGCCTCCTGGGCCCATTTGTTCGTTCAGAACCCAGAGTCTTTGTGGGTGATGTTCTCTGTCTGATAATGAGCAGAAATGGAATGATCCTGGAGCTTTGCTTTCTATTGAAGGCTGTTGACGGTAATAGGTGGTAACTTGGTAAAAGACTGCCTTTACTGTAGCTCATCCAGCATCTCTTTTACCAACCAGAGAGTGTGAAACTAGTTTCATATATTACCTAGTTATTCTTTCAAAACAAAAACAAAAAAACAAAAACAAAAACTGACGCACTGCACTAGTTATTATTAGATATTCTTAGTCTTTTTTGTACATGGAGATTTAAGTTCTAAGATGGTTTATATAATAGGTTATACCTACATTTATATTGTAGAATAATATTAAAAAGCCTGTTCCGAGACTCCCACGCAGCATGGGCAGGCAGATGTACCATTGTTAGCGGTGTATGCTCGGCCTCGTGGTCCATATATTCTGCACTTTTATATTTGCCACCAGAGCGGTAGTTTGCTGGCAAAAAAAAAAAAGAGAGAGAGAGAGAGAGAGAGAGAGAGAAATTACAATTCTTAACAAGCTGAATTTTTTTCTTAGCCTTGAGTGACCAAGAATAATTTGCTTGGGGCAAATTGTGGCAAATATTTACCTGGACAGGGGAAGAGTCCTACAGATTACAGATTACTGATGTTTTCATGCCTTGAGGATTCTTTTATTTTTACACAGGGGTCTAAGTGGGTCTAAGTGACCAATGGATCGTTCATACAAACAAACAAAAAAAAGAGAAAAATATTATTCAGAAGTGACCTTAGTATTACTTCACTATTCTGAACACATTGAAGACACTCACTTCATGTGGACTTGGAGCCACAGACCTTTCCATCCATCCCAGACAGACTGGACGGGTAGCAATTGCTATGCACAGCCTCGTCGGCGCTGCAGGTGTTTAGAGCCATTTCGAGTTTGTGTTGTTAAGGAGGTATTGAGTCACTGATACCGGAGGTATGCCTGACCAGAGTGGGACTCAGTCACAGGCCCACCTGCAAGTTTCTGTTTCCTTTCTGTGTTTTGTTGCTTTTGAACATAAAACCCACCATACATATGCCAGTGCCGAGTGGATTAACTGGCTTTGAACATTCAGCATATTGACTTAACCACCTGATGTTCACAGTGTCTTGTTTCCTAGCAACAGATGCAAAGTGATAAATCCAAATTAGTCAGAGGCTACAGATTTTACAGGGTATTTCTTCCATAGCACAAAGTATCTCCCCACTCTTGCATCGCAGCACAAACTACCAAATTTCAATGATTGGATTCCAGCAATAATTTTTATTGGTTTTCAAACTGGCGGGATTTTGATAGTGTTAGTTCAGGTTTGAAGCTTTTGAATTAGATCTCTAAATGGTGACAGTTTACAGGTTTTATCTAGCTTTCTTATTTATACTTGACTGAATTGTAATGATGATTTTTTTCTAATCGTAATTTGACCTAATAGCCATATAAAAAGTGACTCTATTAATACTGACTAGGTTTAGCTTTTCATGGTTGTAGATATTACTTCAGTTTCGGTGCTGGAAAATATGTACAACATACTAACAGAATGGAAGACTCTAGAGGGGTTTTTTCAAAGCAGGCAAAGAGGGCAGTAGAGCATCGGTGTGACACTCTCAAAGATGCACACTCATTGTGCATCTATGGAGGAAGAAGGAATTAGTAAGCAAGGTTAATCAGCTTTTATAGCTTAACCCCAGTCACATAGAAATAAATCAGGTGAGCAGCCCCAAATTTCAGCATAGCCTTTTTACTACGATGCTGTTTTATTAATGTTTTCTAAATCTCAAAACACAAATTGAATGTTTGGAAATTGCTGGGTCCCAGTGTTGGTGGCTGTTAGGAGTTTTTGGACCACTTGCTAGCAGTGATTTTAAAATTATTATTAGCTAAAATCCAAAAAAATAAACCCAAACAAACCAACAACAAAAATTGTGTGGTGCAGAACATGCATCTTGACAATGGTACTAACTTGTTATTCTATAGAACATGTTAGAATAGGTCTATTTTTGCCAGAGCACCCTCCTTCTGTCCTCCAATTACATTTCACTAGAGTTCCTCAAGAGATTGCTGTATATTCATGGGACCTTTTTTTAAAAAGAAGCAAAACAAAAGATTGCTTTTTTCTATGTGATTACTATCTTACTTGATCTGCTTTTCCTAAACCTCAGTGGCTTTTCCCTTAGGCAGGGTGGGAGTGGGAGGGCAACCTACTGGATATGACTGTTTTCAGATACTTAAAAAAAAACACACAAAAAAAACCCCCCACCTTTTTGTAGAAATGCTTAATTTTTAAGCAGTTAGGCACTGAGAGTAGCAGAAATCCTGCAAAGCTTTATAGTTCTTTAGACACTCGCCTTGTTGTTTCTCTGAGTGCAAGTCTTGATTTCAATACTAGTGCTTTTCTCATGCCCTGAACCCGCTGGAGAGGGGTGTTGGTATATTCAGGTAACAACATTTGTTAGCACAAATATTTCAGACCAACATGTAGTCCCCACCCCCCACTTATCATTTTCATTTCATTTCTCTCATTCTTCTTTATTTTGGAAAATCAATCGTATTGCTATAGTGTGTACTTTAATCTGCCAGCAAACACCATCTACACTAACCTTTGTCCCATAAGCATCCTCAAGAGAAGAAGTTGTTGCACCTTATGTATATCTCAAGCAAACCAAAATACGATGCTCTTCTGCTCTGTTGTATTCTAAATCGTTGTATCATATCTTTCTGAAACCATTCTGAATTTAGTTGAAATTATCAGTATTTATACTTTTAACCTTAATTTCTGGATTCAAACCTGTATATAAATATTTTGAAAAAAATTGTCCTAGCCCTTCTCTGTGATGCTGGAAGTGGATAGTTTAGTCTCTGATGGAGACAGTACTATTCCAGTTTCCTTTTGCCTTTTATTTATTTAGTTACTCTGGGTATTTCCTATGTAATTTTGAAGTGTGTAGAGTATATTATAGTAACTGAAGCTACAGCTCTAAGAAGCTGAGTGAAAGAAAAAATACTGTAAGACACCCTTTTAAGTTTGCATTTGTTTGGATACTGTAATGAGATCAGGAAAAGGAAAAGTGTCCCACCGCCATGGTGAAGATACAGGTTCTTATCCCCAAATTAGGTTAGTTCCCAGATTTTTAGATCCAAAGTGTTAATTCACTAAAAACCCCTTTAAAGGCTAAATCATACTGTTGTAATCCTGACAAAATTCTATCAGAAATATATTTATTTAAGTCTATCAGATGAGCTTTCTACCAATGCCATCTCAAAGCCGAAATGCTGACATTCCCACGTTATCACTGATACTCTAGTTCCTGCCATTAAAACTGCTGGAGGGAAACAGTGACGGCACACTACGGTCGAGGAGCATCGGAACTGGCCTGGATGCTGGGACCCAGGGTGTCTAATCCGTCATGTTCTTACTAAGGCAGGTGCCACTCTGTCTAAGTCATCCACAGGCACTCCGCAGTATTTGGCTCTTCATAGGACAGTATTTACACCTATGTTAAAGCTAAAGCAAATTTTAAATTGATACAGAACCAGGAGGAAGCTGACACTGAATGACATCTTTTGTTTCTACAGTATGTGTGTGGGGGGCGGCGGGAGGGGCAATACCCAATAGCTCTGTTCCAAGTTTGGCATTGGGCATTAATGTGAAGCAGTGGGACCATGCTGCCTGCTAAACTACTGTATGAACCCTAAGTGTTCTGGAGACCAGCAGCTGGAGGCTGGAGGCCAGCGCCCACACCCCGGGGGAAGCACCCTCTTCGCTGGGAGAGAGGGAGGAGGACACACGAGGCCCGGAGTCCTCATTTGTAAGGGGAACGTGGGGGTGTATGCGATACTAGGGAGGAGATTCTCCTTTGACTGCACTGCTCCACGGAGCCCTCAGATAAGGCCAATTCTATTGGGCTACCTCGGCTTTACAAGTTAATTTCAGTTAAGTCCTGTTTTGAAGGTTTGTCTTGTTTTGCTTCTACCTTCAGTGCCACTATTTTCCACTGCAGTGTTTTGACTTCACAAACCGCCTTCTCCAGAGAGAACAGTGTATTGCCGAAAGTGGGCAGTAGAAGCAAATGCTGTTACATTTGACCTATAAAGTATTCAGTGACTGCTAGGTGGAAATTGAATGTTAGCTTTCCCCACATAGGACCTTGTCTTGCACCTTACGAAGAGTGTACTAATTGTTAATTAGATGTTGCTTTTATTTATACAAGCATTCCCAAAGAATTAGACTTGGAGTTTGTTTTTGAGTTTCAGGATTCTTAAAAATTATTTTACTTAGATTCACTAACATTATACTTAAAATAAAAAATAAACAGTTTGTTCAGTTCCTCTTACCGGATACTTCTGGTGAAGGGTTCAGGGTTGGATGGACTGCTTTGCTTTAGTTTGGAAGTGATAGCTGAGTTTATTATGCTCCATAATAAATGACCTTGTCCTTTTCACTGGGGACGTTATCTTCCTTACATTTCAGAACAAAGAAGCAACAGAACAGTAAATCAAGACAAATAGATCTGATTCTGTCATACACCTCCATCTGTTTGTGCTATGCTTTTCTTTAAAAATTATAAATACACATATTCTTTAAAAAGACAAAACAAAACACAGTTTCCTCTCTTGGCCAAATTTTATGTGTGGTGGTATGATTTGTACTAATAAATTAGAAGAGGAAACCTTGTACTTATAAGTTCTGTGGCCACTGTTTTCTTGTTGCAGTCAGTGGTCAGAATTGATCCTGCCCTCAAATTGATTTTTATGCACAGTTAGTTGTTGTGACCATAACTACTACTTCCAAAGATTTCCTAATATCTTAGGTCAGAACTGGTTACTGAGTAACAAGAACCTAATTCAATGCCTCCAAACCCTCCCACCCACACCACAAATCTTACCTCACAAGCTCTAAATCACAAAGGCGCGCTTGCTTCACAGACTAACACAGCTCTCACCGGCCCCCCCAGGGGCTGGATCGGGTCCCCGACACCTCGTGCCAGTGCCTCGGCTGCGCAGGACAGGGGTGGGGAAGGTTCATGATCTGGAGCTCAGCACGTGCTCAGCAATGTTTCTCATTTCATTAGCACGAAACACATCTCTTGCTCTCAGGAATTTATCAAAAAAAAAAAAGAATAAAAACCACCTGAGATTCCACACACCAGATTATGAACGTTTCTCGTAGGTTTGAATTGCTTACTTGTCATAAATTAACCACGGCTTCGTTTGACCACCAGGTCTTAAGTCTGTTGACGGTTTCAGCATGACCGAATCGCTCATTTTCTTTCTTTTTTATTTTTTTTTTTGCTTTCTGAAATTGGCTCGGTTCTCTTTAGAGTTGGTGTAAACATGCCATGTAATAAATGATTTCTACTTAATGGTACAACAGAATTATTGCTTTCTTTAGATGTATGTGTAGTAAAAGTCAATATACACATTTATATAATTTCTTCAAAATCTTATACTTTATTTGATATTTCTAAAAATTGCACATGTAAGTCATGTGTATAACATGCTAAAGTACTTTAACTGTGATCTTAAAACTGAATAAAAATATTTAATAAAAATTTGAAGTATTTTAAAGATATTCAAATATATTTCTTTATGTTCACACTACTGGCCATAGAGTATGTGCCCTCAATATACCATGCCCACTAAAACAGGACAGTACTTTCATAAAAATAAGCCAGTTCAGAATGTCCAAGGATAGTCTCCTATGAACTATTGGTCTCAGCAGCCTCAGTTGCTTTTCCCTAAAATGCAGCAGAAATCAGCCGATGGAAGAAGGAAGATAACGCTTAGTCTGCTTCTCAGCACAGGACTCTTGGAGGCGCCTCCCTGGGAACAATCTTGACCTGAAATACCATCTTTCCCCGGAGCTAGAACAACTCATGCAAATGGTATACTAAGACTGGAAACTAACTCAAACCTCAGACTTGCTGAATACGGTGTTTCTGAGCCTTCCGACCTTAGATATGGTTTTCTATCCTTTGGAACAACACAGTATATATACATATTTAGTATAATTACATCAAGAAGGCTTTACATTCAGATAGGCGTGGCTTCAAACACTAGCCCCACCAGCTCACCACTGAGGACCACTGGACCACACTTCACTCATCTGAATGATGGTGTTAATACTCACACCATTGCTGAGATGAAAAGAGTAGACACACGGTAATGTTGGCATAAGGCCTGTAATAGAGATTCTCATTAAATGGTAATCATTGATTTTATTTCAACTTTAAGGCAGATATGTTTGAGTATATAGGAAAGATACTAAGTATACTTTATTTGAAATAAACTTGTAAAGGGTGATGCATTAGGGGTAAGTTGTTTCAGGAGATATGGTGTGGGAAAACAGTTAAATTCACATAGCTCACTCTATGTAGCACTATAAGATTTTTCTGGAAAATTAGTCTGCCTGATGATTTACACTTTTGTAAAGCTCCAGTGCACTTCCTTTCCTTTGAATTACTGTCAAGTGTAGGGGGCGGGGTGAGGGGGCTCCGTCCCAAAGAATATAAATGGTTTTAGGGAAAAAAGACTATACATATATGTGGTTTTATGCTCCTACGTGTATTTAGACACGTTACATCTTTTCGGGTAGGACATGAAATCTCAAGGAAAAATAAAATGGTCTTAAGCAAGCTAAAACTAAACTCCATTGCATGCATGCTGAAAGTACATAAAATTGTTCATTATAATTTATCAGAAACCTTTTCACCTTTTAAAGTTATGGAAAAATATATGCAAAAGTAGGTTAGCATATTAAACTCCATGCCCCCACCCCTTAGCTTCAACAAATAACATTTTCTAAATTCCTGTTTCATCTGTATTTTGCCCATTTTCCTCCATTTCCTCCCCCAACCTCAGATATGTTTATTTCAGGAGTGTGATTTCATGTATACATACTTACGATGCTGCCTTTTGAAAATATTTTAATACAATTTTTATTTTTTATGTATCACCTCCTCACAATTCCAAAAATATGTTTAGTTCCTGTCTAAAGCCAAAGGAATCCCTGAGCCACGAGAGCAGTAGTGCTGGAGTGAAGATTACTTGGAACTAGAAAACACTTTAAATTGGATGTTGCTATATTTACCTTTTTGATCCTCAGTTTTCAAAAGAGATTTAACTTGATTAAACAGTGCCCCCTTTTAGCATGTAATTCTTTCTATGGTCTTTTCTCTTTTCCAGACTTAATGTCAAAAAGGCCCAAGTGCTAAAACTTTTGTAAACTTGTATGTCCTTTCTCCTTCCCTCCAACCTTGTTCCCACTGTTTTCTGCCTCCCCAGACTTGCACGAGCGAAGTATATTGTAGGGGAGAGGCAGAGACAAAATGTAGATGACCTCTGGAAGGCTGGTGCCAGTGATTTTTAAAATCTGAAATTCTGGGTTAATAGGCCAGAAATGAAAGCACAAATTGAAATCCCTTGCCGGAAGAGATCAAATGATAATCCTTGCTTTTGGAGATCCCATACCCTAGGGAATTTCACAAAAGGTCATTCTGTCTCAGGGTTGTGTATTGCAGAGTAGGAGAAAAATGTGAGGATTGAGTGTCTTGAGGGATGGAGGGTAGAAGGGAGAAAGGGAACGTTCATACGAATAAGCCTTTGAAGTTCAATGTCAAAAGTCAAAATGGGTTTAAAGCATGAAAATATTTTCAAGAAATATGTTCAAGTGGAATGATTATTTTTTCCTAACCTTTTCTACTGTTAGGCATCATATCTGTGGTGCTTCTGAGAGGCACTTTAGATAAAGTTTATATCTTCGAGAAACCAACATGTAACACTAAAAACTATATTTAAACAATAGAAATAGAATACTAGTTAGATACAAAAAAATAGGTAATGTGTTACCATCTAATTTGAAAACATTTATTAAATATAACATTAAATATAATAGGAAGGCAGTATTGATTGTAGTTTTAACATTTTTCCTCCAAGATAATATAATCCTTGAGATAAATACTGGAAAAGTTTAGACATTTTATAAAATAACTTTAAATTTTCACTTCTCCCATATTAAATATTCACTTGAGTGTGTATAGCAGTGCATTAAAATTATAAGAACAATATTCTGCACACGAGTCCTTGAAAATCTAAGCCCCTTTTGTGAATAGTAGTATTTAGCACACGGATGCATGAAACCTACATTGTATATCAATCAAAATCAAACCGTATTGTTAGAATAAATTTGTTTAAAAACAGTGTGCCTCTTTCCACTTCTCTTTCAAAGTGCATAAAAATATTTTCTCTCCCTTGCTTTGTTTGGCTCCAAGAAGTCCTGGTACCCATAATTCATGTCCATTAAATTACTTAAGTCTTGCTCCTCTAAGAATCCACTCATTCACCAAGTCTGCCTTGGATGCCTACAAAGTACCAGCAAGACAACCTTCGAGGTGGGAGGGAGGAGAGAGACTCCATTGAAATGCATTGTGGATGAGGCTGGGCAAGGAAATCAAAGGCTGTCAGGAAGGAGTTACTTATAAACTCATGTGGAAGACTTTAAGGAAAGGGATAGTATGTGTTACTGTTGTATTTTAAATGAGTTTTACTTTAAAATTCTCATACAAGAGATCTTGGCACAAGAAAAGCAGGTGCTGCTAAGGCAAAGCCACAGATGCCCGAGACTGGCAACATGTGATGAAAGTCTTTGGGGAAGATCCATGATGCGGATCAGTGTACACATTCCTCCATGCGTGTCCTGAGGGATGGAACGTCCCGGCTAACTTGATTCCAGGACTGAGTTGTGTATGGCCCAGGAATAGCCAAAGTCGCAAGGTCAAGCAGTTTGAGATTTGAGCATTTGGCCTTAATTAGAGAGGTAATTCTGGTAACCAGATATGTGGTACCCTGAGTTTATTTTCCTTCCTTCCTTCCTTTACTGTGTCTTTCTTCACCTTAGCCCCCAACTCTTGCATGCTGCTGAAATTTAATTTTTTCAATCTTGGCATTTTTCTTCAACGATGGCACACCTCCTTCCAGATTCCCCAAAAGCTGTTTTAGATTTCTCTTTATGCTTTTCTTTTTTTTTCTCCAACCAGATTGACTGAGATTTTTATGGCAGGGTAAATTACTCAACAACTCCTTTGCCCCAGGAGGGTTCCTGGACTAAAACATACCTGCTGTGAAGGTTCTCATTTTTGGTGTGTGCTGCTCCCATTTCAATGTGGGGCGAAATTGGACACCAGAGTCTTCCTTTGCTAATCCTCCGCTTCTACCATGGACTTCACTACAGGAAATGCCTGTTCTCATCTCTGAGGGAGCTTCCCCCTGGAAAGTATTGAGGGCTGGGTATCTACTTTTTTAAACTCAACATCTCAGTATGGCCAAATCAAAAGCCCCTCCCTAGGGATCAAGAGTTGAAGACATTCGTTTAACATCCTCAGCCTTAAGAAGCAAGATGAGCTCTCTTAGGTGGGCAAACTGTACTGAAATCCGGAAGAAGTCATAAAATTTTAGAAGATTACACAGTTGAATTTGAAGTCCATCGAGCATCTGTCTGTGACCCCCAAAGACTGTCAATGATATGTGTGTTGCCAAAAGACTTCATTGGTCTCCCCCCACCCTTCCCAAAGATGGGACTTTAAATGAGTGGGTCACACATGGACAATTCCCAAGGACTAGCGTGCGCCAAGAGGGCTGTGGCTGGAGCAGCAAAGGTCACAGCCCCCTTGACCCCCTCACCGGGACTGAGAGCGGGCAGGAGTGCACAGGGGGTCTGGTGAGCGCCCAGCTCCTCCCAGGACACCGTGCAAGCTGGATCCGAACGAGATGTTCCTATATGTGGGCGTTTACCCATGTGAATTACTTTTTTTGGATTCCTTTCACTCCTACCCACACATCCAATATTCCATATGCCTTCTTTTAAAAGAAACAAACGGTTTTCTGGTCCGGGTGTGCACTTTCCCTTCCGAGTTGCCCTTGTGTGACATTCTAGCCTGCCACCCACACCACCTGCTCCTCAGCCAAAGATCCACTGTAGATAGAATCTGTCCCAGCCGCTGAGCCGACTGCAGGGAGCAGCGCCAGTCGGCGGGGGCATTGAGCGGAGTCATAACTGAGCAGATGAATAATATTCCCTGGGGAAGAGCCGGCCTCACTCGCAGCCAAAGACGAGACAGAACCAACCCCGGGCGGGGCTGTGCAGCAGGTGGGGCTGGAAGACACCCCGTCATGGAGCGCGAACCCCTTCTCCCCGTGGGTCACCTGCTGCCCGGGAGCTCGCTGCCATCACAATCCTCCAGGACACGGACTGCAGAGGTTTGAGATTAACCGGCTGCAGAGGAACAATGCAACTTACACTTCTTGGTCCCTTTTATTTTCTTCCTCGTCAATTTTATATATTACGGTTAAAACTTCTTAACTGGAATGTTAACCTCGGATGAGCGTAAACCAGTTACCTTCAAAACGCCCCAAATGCACGAACAGCTCGGTCTGAAATAGGCAGACGGCTGATCTGATTTCATGTCAACAGCGACTGACCTTCCTGTGTCTCCAGGACACAAAACACCAGCTAAGAAAGGGCGCTCTCCTCCCACCCTCTGCGCCGCTGTTTTCAGAAAAGAAAGCCAGTA